GCGTGCAAGAAGCAATGGGTCATAGCTCCCTTGACATCAACATGGCTTTCCTGAAGGGATTGACCTGCCAGGAACTTGCTGAGGCAACCGGTGAGAAGGAACGTGCGGTGTGCTTTACATAGCCACCTGGGTCAGCATCGGCGCTTCGATCCCTCCCAGGATTCGAGCACTACGATGAGTCAAAGCACTCTTTACAGTGCCTCAAGCCAGGTACCGGCAACAAGGACGCCACTGAAGCTCAGAAAGACCGCGAGGGGCTTTGGTCTCAAACCCACGTCTTACGACGAGGAGTTCGAGACAAGCAGTGACCTTCTCACAGCTAAACATGTTGATGCTATCAAAATGGCCGGCACTGAAGAGACCATCGACAAGTGCGCCAAGTGCGTTGATGACACTTTTGGTAGATGTAAACACAACATACACATACCAATTGTGATGTGAGATGCACCAATGATGGGGGCGGTAATGTTGCACTGGATCAAGACGAGTGCATCAATCAGCTCCGTCCTATACAACATCCTGAACTCACGCGCGCAGACGCCGACGCCAAAGCGTCAAACATGGTTACTGACATGTTTGTCAGCCTCAGAGGCGCGTTGGCTTACGCATTAATCTCGCAGGTGTGGTTGATGGTATATGTGGTTTCTCTGCAACGTGCCCAAGAACCGACCGACATACAGGTGCCACGACTGAACGCGATTACCAGGAAGTTGCAGGCCTGCCGCAAGAGGAACGCCTATCGATCCATGACCCCAGTGGGCGAAGTTGACCTGCACAGCGACTCCGGCGATCGACGCCTAAGTGGAGATGCCGATGACGAGGTCAAAGGCTATGGTACTTGCGGGGCAAACCTGCTACGGCGTGGAGACACGCCAACTGGGGCGCCCGTCGCCCATCTGATCGGCGCGCACTGCAAGTCTCGCCGCTTGCAGGTCCGCTCGAGCTACTCAGCAGGAACACTTCGCAGCAGCCCACAACTTGGAGGATTGTTATCCCACGATCGTCACTCTGCGCGAACTCCACGCAGGGCCACTGACACCCACTCAGTTAGACGATATACTGGAGATGGGTGGCCTACGCATCAAGGTCACTTTGACCATAGGTGCTGAATGTGTATGCAAGTCCTTGTCAAGCAAAGACCTGGGAAAGCCGACTGAGTGCACACTCTTAGGACACATCAGTTAGATGAGACAGATGATGGATCGAGGTTTCGTGCATAGTATTCAGTGGTGTGACACTCGCGACATGACCGCGGACGGTCACACAAAAATGACCTTCAAGCATGATTTAAAGCGTCATACTCCGTACTGGGCTGGCCAGACAACATCGTCTGAGGCCGCCTGAGGAGCACTCGCCTGTACAGCGATCTGTTCGCAATGCAACTTGCGTCCAATGGCACTTGCGTGCGCGTTCCTTACGAACCTGCCTTTTGTAAAAATAGTGTGTACTTTATAGCGGGCGGCGGACTCACGCTTCGTCTTCCCCCCCCCCGACTCTAAAGAGAGCTGGGGCACGAGAGATAGCGAGCGTTTGTCCGCGGCCGTTTGGGCTCAAGCGGCCAGCCGCCAACATATGACTGCGCCTCATCGCGAGGCACACGACTTGCCATCGAAAACGAAAACATATTCGCTTGAGATGGCCCGTCGCTCCCGCGACGATCTCCTACTCCTGCTGGGCTTCGCCTGAGGCGAAGCTGCTGGTTGGGCCTTCCAACCCCCTTCAAACTCTTGGAGCCTCTTGGGGGCTTCTTGGGGGCCTCTTGGGGCCGCCTGTGGGCTTCTTGGGGCCGAGGGCTCGAAATTTCAGTTCGGGTCCCCCGCCCAGGTCCCCTCCCGGAGCCGTCTTGGGGGCCTCTTGGGCCGTCTTGGGGCCCTCGCGGGCCGCCTTGGAGCCTTTTTTGGGGGTTTCCTGGACCCTCTTGGAGCGCTCTTCGAGGCCTCCTGGGCCGTCTTGGACACTGCGAGAGCCCCAGAGGCGAATGTGTTAAAATCATACGTTTCCCTGAGGGAATGGGACGATGTGTGCTTTTGGGGCTCTCTGGGACGCCTCTTGGGGGCCTTTTGGGGCGTATCGGGTGCCTCTTGGACCGTCTGGGCGTCTTGGAACGATCCATCGACGATTCGGGGCCCTCTTGGACTATCTTGTGGGCCTCTTGGGGCCCTCATGGCCGGTCGTGAAGCCCGTGACGCGTTCAGCCAGGGCCGGCCGGACCTCCCCCTCCAAACCGATCGGACCGGGCCGGGCCTCGGGGGGAGGGTCTTGGGGAGGGGGTAGCATCTCATACGCCGATGACCCCAAGGGCTCGGCGGATACATGCGTTCTGGAACCCATTCTCATGTGTGGCCAGCGCGTGACAGGGAGGTGTTGTTCGATGCGCTCCGGCGAGGCTCCGCATTCCCCGGCGCAAGCACGCACGGCCTGTTAAGACCATTGCCCCGCCTGCGGTCCACTATATCGTCGACCCCTCCTGCCCTGCACCCTTCCTCACACTACTCCCCTCTTTCTTCCTCTCCCCAACCTTCCCCTCGTCCCCCCCCCTTCTCATCATCATACTGTATCATGCTCCTCTATAGTCGTCATCCTCCTTCTCATCATCATCCCCCTTCCCCACCCTGTCCTCTGACAGGGGCGAAGGGGCCAGGGGATGCCTGCCTGCAGCCTGCGAGGTAGCGGCGCACAGTATCAGGATGTGTGCCTTCCTGTTTTTGTTTTTGTTCATTTCTCTCTCTCTCTCTTCTTTCAGTACGCCGTGCTTGCCAAAATGTTCCCCCCTCCGGTCCCCGCTCCCGTGCCTCGAGGACCTGCCCCCGAAGCAGTTCGGCCCGCGCCCGGAGGATCCTGTGGACCTGCTGCGGCAGGTGCGCAGCAGCGTCCAGGCCAGAGGCCGTGCGAAGTCCGGGCGTGAGTCGCAGAGTGAGGCGAGGGGGCCGGGGAGATGTTCAGGCGTGCAGGCGGGCCTGGCAAGGCCCAGGGCTGCGCAGGGGTAGCTCTTGGTGGCAGTCACAGCGGGCCCCGCCAGGCCCCCACAGTGAGCTGGGGCAGTCTCCTGGAGTGCTCTTCGCCCCGTGGTTGGGAGTGTTGGGGCCGCCCTGGGTTATTTTCTTTCCAGCCAAGAGAAAAGTTTTTCTGCTGCCAACTTTGCTGGCCCTCCGCTGGCAGATCGATCGCGTCGGATGGCTGGCAGCCGTTGCCTCCGTAATCCGCTCGAGCCGCGTGCACTTGATACCTGCCATTGCTGGGGTTCCAGGCGGTGGTGTTCGGAACGACAACGCTTCAGGCCAACTGTCGACGTTCGATCAGACCTCAACTGTGGACGCCCTCAACTGTCGACGTTCGTTCAGACCCTTCGAACGAATCGGTCTACATCGGCACAACGACCAGCGACAACGGCGAGGACCAGGTCATGCTATCTACTGTGTACAAACGCGAGCGGCCATCTGGCCGGCAGTGCGGGGCACTACTATGTCCGATCATTGCCCCGTGGTCGCTGCTGGACATGCTGGCAGGAACAGTGCACAGAGAATGGGTCGGGAGGACATGAGCGTCCTTGCCTCTCGCCGCCGCGTCCGCTTTACTATTCAGGGCGCCCTTGTAGGCTCTGTTCGTCGTTTTCAGTCGTTCGTCTCGTCGTGATGCTTGTCTTGTTCCCTCAACAGTGCTTTCACTTAGGGGTTCTTACTTCTCGTCTTCCGAACTGGGCCTGATGGTCGGTCTGGCGGATATCGAAGACGCCTACGGCGAATCACCGCCGCCCCCTGCCTTTTTGGAAGCGCCTATGTGGCCGAACGTTGAGGCCAGACCTGCCAAGAGGTCGGACCAAGTGTTCCCCGAATCGGTTTGGAAAGCCTTCGGGGACCACGTGGGCATCTTGAAGGTCATCTTGGCCGTCTGGAGGCCATTTTAACCCTTTCGAGCCTTCTTGGAGGACGTCTTGGAGGGCTTTGGGGCCGTCTTGGAGGCCATCTTGAGCGCCTTGGAGGCCTCTTGGGCCGTTTTGGGGGCCCCTTGGGGCCGTTTTGGGCCTCTTGGGCGATCTTTGGAGGCACTTGGGCTGTCTCGGGCCGTCGGAAGGCCGAAAAAAAACAAATGCCACAATCCTTGAAACACTTATGGGAAATCAATGATTGTGGTCTTTTCGGGCCTTCCTGGAGGCTCTCTTCGAAGCCTCTTGGGCCGTCTTGGGCCATCTTAGGGCCATCTGCAGCCGTTTTGGTGGGTTCCTGGCCCGTCTGACGCCGTCGGAAGCCGCTTGGGGGGCCTCTCTGGGCCGACTTGGGGCCCTCTTGGAATGCTACACGGCCGTTTTGGAGGCCATCTCGGGCGCCTTAAAAGCCTCCTGGGTGCTTCTTGGGGCCGTCATGGGAGCCTCTTGGGCTGTTTTGGGGCCATATTGGAGGCCTCGTGGGCGATCTTTGGGTGCTTTTGGGCCGTCTCGGGCCGTCGGAAGGCCGCAATGAAGCAAGTGTCAACATCCTTCAGACATATCAGGAACATTTGTGTTTTTTTCATTTTTCTGGCCTTCCTGGAGGCCCTCTTGGAGGCCTCTTGGGCCGTCTGGGGCTAGCTTCGAGCCGACTTCGGCCATTGTGAAATACATAGCGTCCGTGCTGATATGTAAGCAGTGTAGCATAGCATGCCAGCAAGCAAGCTGAGTGTGCGAGTATTCCGGCGAAAGGTAGCATGTCCATTCGTATCCATTTGGGCTCAATTCGTTTCAGGGCCTTTGAGTTGGGCGTATCGGTAGGTCCTTTTGCAGGTTCCGCAAAGCAGCCATCTTTCGCCATCCGTTGCGGATCGTATTGGTTGCATTGCTGTATCTGTGCTGATATACAACCTCGCGGTTATCATTGCACTACGACCCCGCTTCGCAGTATTGGGTCTACAGTGGTAGCGGAGCTAACTCGACCGCGGCAACGTGCGCGACTTCGCAGAGTCAATACGCAGGCACACTACAAGCTCGTGATTGCGACTGATACCTCTCATTCGGAGTTGCCGCCAACATGGCGACTACTGGGGGAGCCGCTGCAGCCAGCGGCGAGGACAATAACAGCGGGGGCAAGATTCCCGTACCCGTCTTCGACTGCACGAGCAAGACGATGAAGAAGTTCTGCCGGGAGGTCGCCACCTGGCAGATTGGCACCGAGGTCACGCTGCCCAAGCAGGGCGCGACGCTTTCGGCCAGCCTCAAGGGCAGGGCCGAGGAGGCGCGCGAGGAGCTCGACTTGGAGGCCATCAAGGGCGACGACTCGGTGGAGGTTTTCTTGGAATACCTCGGGAAGCGCTGCCCCGAGTCGAGGTACTGGAGTTGCCGGCGCTCCTGGAGACATTCGTGAAGCCGGCGTGCATCCGGCGCGAGTTCGAGGAGATCCGCGATTTCAACGATCGCTTCAACGGCATTGCGACGAAGGTGAAGGCCAAGGACATACAGGTGCCCGACATGGTCTTGGCCGACCTGTACATCGAGGGCGCTCGCTTGCCACAGGAGCGCGCGGCGAGCGTGCTCAACGGCGTGGGCAACAAGTTCAGTCCGACGAAGATCCAGGGGCAGCTCATGATCAATCTGCCCGAAGTATCGGTCGTGGACGGCCACAAGGAGCATCGCCACGACAAAGGCGGCTACGGAGGTCACAGAACGGACCACAAGACGGTGTACGCCACGGAGGCCTACGACGAGGCCGAGAACGACGGCGCGTCCACCGACAGCTCCGAAGGCTACGACGACGATTTGCCGGACGAGCTACAGGGCGTGATAGGCCAGGCGGAGGAGCAGGTGGCTTTCTTCACCAAGAAGATGGTGCACGCTAAGGACAAGCTAGAGGAGGCCAAGCAGGCGCGCGGCCACTTCGCCAAGCGAGACGGCGGGCACCCGCCGAAGAAGGACGACGCCAAGATCGCCAAGATGGAGGCGAGGACGCACTGTGGAGCACGTGGCCAGAAGGGCCGCTGGCGCGGCGACCCGCAGCGCCCCAAGAAGAACGACCCCAACGCGAGGGCCGACATCCCGCGAAAGGGACGTCACAAGACGAACAGGACTACGAACGACGGGGCCGGCGACGCGCAGGAGCCCCACGTCGCAGAGATGACGGTCGCGGCGGCCTACCAGCACGAGCAGCTGAGGGCGGCGCGAGACCGGAGGAAGGTCACCTTCGGCAACGCGCTGTACGACATCGACTGGGCGAACATGCGCCAGCAGGCCAACGTGCCCGAGGAGGTGACGGTCACCTCGTTCTACATCAACATGGACAACCAGTGCCTCATGGCCGCGACGGGTTTGGCGCTCATCTACATCAGCGTCGAAGACCTACTCAAGGAGTCGTGCGGCAAGCTGACTTTCGACGCCGTCTGCTCGCGGTGCGTCGGCGGCCTGGACTGGCACAACGATATCAAGAAGAAGCTGGTGGCTATCAACATCCAGCCGATCGAGTGCCCGCAGAAGGCGCCGTTCCGCTTCGGAGCGCCCAAGGTTGCGCACGGCCTCAAGGCGGCGCTGATTCCCTGCTCGGTGAACGGCAAGGCTTTCACCGTGCGCGTGAGCATCGTGCGCAGCGCCGTGCCGGGACTGTTGAGCCGCCAGGCCCAGAGCGAATTGGGCGTCGTCTACCGCGCGGGGGGCAACGAGCAGGACAGCAAGTCCGCCAGCGACCGCGGCGCCCTGATGGGCCTGAGCCGCGCCGGACACCCGACGCTCGAGATTGCAGGCTTTGCGCCAGGCTGCAAGTCTGTGTCGGACGTCTCGGACACCAAGACCGAGATCTGGCTGCATCCTTTTTGCGACTTACCACGCTGAGACAGCCGTGGCCAGCGCCGCCAAGCCGGCAGCGCCCGAGCGCTGCGACCAAGAGGTCGCCTCGGAGGCCGACGAGTCTCAGTCGGAGACTGACTGCGACAAGCTCGATAGCGCTGAACTGTTCGAGCAGCAAGTGCGCCAGGCCATGTGCGCATACATTCCATCGCGTCAGTCATCGTCGGGGTCGCAGGACGAGGCGCGGGGAGTTATTCCTACGCCCGCCAGCGCAGCACATATTATGCAAACCGATCATGCAGGACGAAGAGCTAAACCAGACAGCGACCCTCGGCCACATTGTGTTCGATTTCAGCAGCAAGCAAGCGGTGGCGAGCTATGAGATCAGCCATCAGCACGGAGTCATCGAACGGCATCATCACCGCAGCCATCTGGCTCGAGTTCATCTCAGGATCCAGCAGCTTTTACGACGCGTGCCGTGGCAGATCAAGCCACCGCAGCTTTTCGCGAACCAGCGGCCGGCGCTCGCGCCCCCGTCGCAGCGGAAATATATGATATCTCCCAGGGCGACGAACCGGGAGGCCAGCTACACGAACACGCCGACGCCGAGTGTTTTCCCGCCTGCCGGCGTTCAAGCACGCGGATGGGGGACCTACAGGCGGAGGTGGCAAGCTACGAGTTGGATGTGCGCGACGCGATGTGCTACCAGCTCCGAGTCATCTTGCGCGCGCTGAGGGCCGAGGGCCAGGACAAGATGGCGCAGGACATCCCCGGGCTCGGCAAGATGCACGAGCACGAGCTCCTGGAGTTGCGCAGGATGAAGGACATCGACTTCGACCAGCACGCGACCGTGCCGGAACTCAGGCAGCGCCTGAAGGGCTGGGAGGTCGAGGGCGCGGACAGCGGCGCCTCGAGCAACGTGGCCCATCCAAGCTCGCAGATCACGGGGGGCGACAGGATGCGCTTCGGCAAGTACCCGACCGCGGATAACCCCTGGGTGCTCAAGAACGACCTGGGCTACGCGCAGTGGGCGGTGCTGGAGCTGGACAACAGCCAGGCGAGCCCGCCCCTGGCGCGCTTCGGCAGGTGGGTCAAGGCTCACAGAGCGAAGCCGCTCGCGCCAGAGAAGGCCAGGACCACCATCGAGGCGGTGATGGCCGAGGAGGCGGTCCTGGACTACGAGTCGGCGACGCCGACGGCGGCGACCCAGCGGGCCTCAGTCAAGGCAGCTGGGCGGGTCACCGCCGCCCGAGTCCGGTCGAGGGGCGCGAGATGGACACCGGCGACCACGGCTTCCAAGAGGCGGGCGAGACCGAACAGGAGACGGGCGCGGCGTCTCCGAAGGACAGAGCCTAGGCGGCGGCGGCCGCCAGGACCAGCCGCCAGCCTCGGGCCGGCGGCCAGGCATCAAGAAGGGCAAGCGCGTCGGCCTACTCTACCAGGTCACGGGCTTGCTGAGCGCTTTCGCTTTTCAGGCGGTGCTCGCGGCGGACTGGCTGTCCCAACCTCTCAAGCCGTTCGCTCAGTATGCGACGAGCGCCGCGCAGGACGTGGCGGACCACATGAGGAACGTCAAGGGGGTCTACACCGTCCGGTGCCACGGCGTGGACGTCATGCAGGTGTTCGGAGGCGAAGGCGGCGTTACCGAGGCGGCAGTGCGCCGCAACAGGACAGCCACGGAGGTGATCGACCGCAAGTGCGGCTCGGACCTCCGCAAGCAGAAGGACCTCGAGATGACGCACGAGCGGCGCTACGCATCGAGGCCGAAGTCGGTGTCGATCGAGCTGCCATGCACCTACTACACGAACATTACGCACCTCAGCTTCCGCACGCCGCAGGGCAAGCAGGCGCCACGGCGGCTGCGGCGCGCGGAGCGGCCATTCCTTTTTCTTGGCCCGCGAGCTCTTCAAGTCTCAGCTCGATCCAGGCGGCGTCGCCATGATCGAGAACCCGGCCACCGGCCGGATCTGGACACAGCACATCATGATGGAGCTACTTGCCGACAAGCGCGTGTACCATGTGAGGTGCGATATGTGCGAGTACGGGGCTTGACACTACAAGACGGGGGGCTCATCAAGCACCCCGCCAAGCTGCTCGTCACCAATGAGAAGTTCGAGCGGCTACGCCGCACCTACAGCCACAAGCACTACGACCAGACGTTCGGGGACAACGTGGCGGCGCGGAGTTCTGGCGCTTATCCAGCCAAGTTCTGCCGGGCGGTGGTGCGCATCGTCGAGCAGATCATTCGCCGGCAGGGTGGGCTTCGCGCCTGCCAGGTGGACGGCGGCGCTTACTCGTCGCCCTTCATCGCGACGGGGCTGAAACAGCAGGCCACCGCCTACGTGAACGATGCCGCGCCCCTGGGAAAGACGGGCGAGCCTATTGGGGGCCCAGACCCCATGGGCGGCGGAGACGACTTCGCCGACAGTCACGACGTCAAGGCCGACGAGTCTGTGGACGGCAGGATCGGGGTCGGCGCGATCCTTTTCACAAGGAAAGCAGCAGCCCGGTGCAAGCCAGCCGAGCTGGCCATGCTCAAGAGACTCCACTTCAACTTGGGCCATCCGTCCAATAAAGACTTGAGCCGCAGTCTGCGACTCGAGGGCGCCAAATCGGCCACCGTGCAGGCCGTCAAGGGGCTGATCTGCGGAGTGTGCCGCTCGCAGCAGCGCCCGAGCGCAAGGGGCCAGCGCGCCTCCACTTCGTGCAGGATTTCGGCGACGACGTGGGCTTCGATTGCTTCGAGCCCAATGACGTCGACGGCAAGAGCTACTGGTACTTCAGCATCGTCGACTTGGCCACCACCTTCCACGTCGCGACGCTGATCGGTCGCCACACCAGCCAGGAGTTCGCTACGGCCTTCGAGAGATGCTGGGCCTCCTGGGCCGGCGTCCCAGACCGAGTCCACTTCGAAATGGAGAGGGGGCTCGGCGGCGTTCTCAGCGAGCTGTTCCAGTCTTTCGACACGGTGCAGCTACCTATCGCTGGACAGGCCCACTGGCAGCTCGGTCGAGTGGAACGTCAGGGAGCCTGGCGGAAGGAGCTCGCTGCAAGGACGATCGAGCACTCGTCGATCAGGGGCGAGGACGAGATGCGGACGCTGGGCATCATGGTGTCGGGCGCGGAGAACTCGCAGGCGGGCCGGCTTCAGCCCCGCGCAGTGGGTGCTGGGGCGCGATCCCGAGATGCCCGCCGACCTGGTGGACGACACGGCCAACTACAGTGCCCACAGCCTCGCTACCAATGACGAGAAGATACGCCGCCGATATGCTATTCGGACGGCGGCGCGCGAGTCGTTCATGCGGATGCAGAACGACGACCAGCTCAGACCAGCCATGCTAGCTCGCGCGCGCACCGTGGCCACACCCTTGTCAGGGGCGAGATGTGCTACATTCTCCGCCAAGCCAAGAAGAAGGAGCAGAAGGAGCAGCACAGCCACAACGCCAAGAAGGGCATCTGGCTGGGGCCGTGCGTGGTCATCGGTCACCAGGGCAATAATGCCTGGGTCTCGCTGGGAGGGCTCACCATGCTGGTGGCCCCGGAGCACATCAAGGCGCTGTTCCGGACGACGTCTGGTTCCCGAACAGCCGGGGCGAGATCGGCCAGGCCGTGGCCGAGCTCAACAGGGCTCGCGATTCACTCGAGCAGGAGGAGGCCCCGGTGGAGGACATCCGCCCAGAGCCGGGCCAGCCCGAGGTCCAGCCAGACGAGATGGAGCAGGCGTGGCGGGAGCTCATCGACAGCCCAGACGACGACGACCTGAAGCTGAACTTTCCTGAGGACCCGAATCTCCAGGAGCAGATCGAGGTGCTGCCCGCCGACCGAGCCGACATGCCTCAGTCAGCCTTAGAGGAGCAGCCTTACGGCCCCGCCGAGTTCCGACGACGGCGAGCGACCTTCGACGGGGCGGACAGCGGCGACTTCGGCCCAGCCCTCAAGCGCCTGCAGACCGCCAAGGAGCCCGCGGGCTCCGGAGGACCGCCCTCGAGGGCAGCCTCGCGCGATCGGGCGGCCGTGTCCGACGGCGGAGCAGCGGCCGGATCCGAGCCGGAGGGCGCTAGAGGGCGTTCGAGGTCGGCTCCCAGAGAAGCGATGCAGACTTCCATCGTCGCCGAGAGGATCAAGCGCAAGCAAGCCGACAAGGAAGACCACTGGAGGGCCATTCAGGACTCCGACAGGGAGCTCTACCGAGAGGCGGCGGCCAAGCAGTGGAGCGAGTGGCAGAAGTACGGATCCTGTCAGGTGCTCACCATCGAGGAGTCCGAGGCGGTCAGGGGCAGGGTTAAGGCCGACCTCATCTTGCCCAGCCGGTTCGTGTACCGGGACAAGAACGCGCCGCTGCGGACAGACAAGCACCCTTTGCCGGTCAAGGCCAAGGCCCGACTCTGCGTCGGGGGTCACATGGACCCGCGTCTGGCTCAGGGCGACCTGCGCACAGACGCGCCTACGGTCACCCGCAACTCGACTATGCTGTTCTTCACCATCTGCCAGAGGTTCGACCCGGAGATTTACGCAGCGGGCGTCGAGGCGGCTTCCATGCAAGGCGACGAGCAGCCCGACCATCAGTTGCACATGGTTCAGCCCCGCTAGGGCTTACCTGGGCTGCACCCGAAGCAGTTGATCAAGATCCTCAAGGGAGTCTTCGGGCTAGCCACCGCACCGCGACAGTGTTGGGCGAAGCTCAAAAGGACCTTGCTTGCAGTGGAGGAGAAGTTCGGTGACTACGGGTTCCGCCTTCGCCAGCACTCGCTGGATCCAGCGCTGTACTAAGGCTACGACAAACACGGGGAGCTGTGCGCGGTGGTGGTCGCCCACGTGGACGACCTGCTGCTGGGCGTCTGCTTGCCATTCACCTTTTGTGGCAAGCAGGTGCGGCGCGATGAGGAGGGGATCCTACACCTACGCCAGACGGAGTACCCGAACACGATCGAGGAGATCGCGCACAGCAAGGAGCGCAAGACGGAGCTGTTGGCGGAGGCGACGCCAGCCGAGTTTTCGGATAACCGCTCCGCCGTCGGAACGCTCGGATGGCTCTCATCGCAGACTCGACCTGTCAGCTAGAGTGGCCATGGGACAGCGCACCCAGAACAAGCCCACCATCCAGGACCTGCTCGAGACGAATCGGCTCATCAAGCTGGCGCGGAAGCACGCGGACGTGGGACTGGAATTCCCGAAGCTACGTGGACCGATTTGCGTGGTCACCTACCACGACGCCAGCTGGGCCAATGCTGACGAGCCACCTGAAGGTGTCATAGCTACGCTACTCACCAAGATCGCGAGCAGCAAGGACAACCGTATCGAGATCCGCTCGCAGGCCAGCTACGTGACGTTCATCGCCGAGGCTACGCTGCTGAGAGGCGATAAGGCGCGAGCGGGAATCGTTGATTGGCGATCGGGCACCATCGAGAGAGTTTGCAGATCTACTTTGGCAGCTGAGACGATGTCAGGGGTAGACGCATTAGGCTGTGCTCAGATTTCACGCTGCGTTTCCGCTTCGCTGGAGATACCGGATGCTCATCCGGAAGATATCCCACCAATTTTGTTGCCGCTTGCTCAGGTCACAGATTGCGCTAGCTTGTGCGATATGATGCACAAAGCCGGTTATTCCAAGCTCCCGTCAGAGCGGAGCCTTCTGCTAGACCTAGTAGGCCTCAAGGAATCATTAGAAGAGGAAATAAGTAACGAATTCGTTGCAGACGATCAGCGTTGCCAGGTGCCTCTCTTTTGGGTTCCGACTGACCAGCAGCTCGGAGATCAATTCACCAAGCGATCTGACGGCAGCGCCACCAGGGCAGTGTTGCGAGGCACACGCCTCGCACTGCAGCATCAAGCATCAAGAGCCAACCGGCCAGGCCCGAGAGCACGAGGCACATATGAACAGTGCCGGCTCGCTTTTCAAGCGCGCCATCCGCCTGGTTTCAGGATAGAGCGCATCAGGCGCTCGGTATCAGCTTAGTTGGTTGACGTGCGATTAAACACGTCTTAATGTCCTAAGACCAGAGATGCACAGATCAGAAGAATTCTGCACGAGTGTGAAATACATAGTGTCCGTGCTGATCTGTAAGCAGTGTAGCATAGCATGCCAGCAAGCAAGCTGAGCGTGCGAGTATTCAGGCGCGAGGTAACATGTCCTTTCGTACCCATTTGGGTTCAATTCGTTTCAGGGCCCTTTGAGCTTGGGCGCATCGGTTGGTCCCTTTGCAGGTTCCGCCAAGCAACCGCCATCTTTCGCCATTCAGTGCAGATAGTATTGCTAGCATTGCTGTATCACTGCTGCACTACGAACCCGCCTTGGAGTATTGGGTCTACAGCCATCTTGGTGGGCTCCTGGCCCGTCTGACGCCGTCGGAAGCCGTTTGGGGGGCCTCTCTGAGCCGACTTGGGGCCCGCTCGGGGTGCTCCAGGGCCGTCTTAGATTCTAAAGTGAGCTGGGCGATGCAGGTGAGTGGGAACAAGCGCGCGCCCGCGGCCGCTTGGCTCAAAGTGGCCCGGCCGCCTAGATCTGACTACAACTCAGTGCGAGGTGTACTATTTGCCATCGATACCAAAACTGCTTGAGATGGCTCGCCTCCTACTACTGGGACTATCGTTACTTCGGTACAACAGAGCTGGAGCTTGGCTTCACTTAAGGCGAAGCTGCTGGCTGGGCCTCCGAACCCCTTTCCAACTTGGTAGCTGAGCTGGCCTATGGTGGTTAGCGCTTGCTTTACTCCTCACCATCCACGGCACTATCTGGTGGACTACTGACGTGGTGGAACATCAGGGTGCAGTGGGTTTGCGCGGAGGAATGTATATATTTCGCAACATAGCAAGGGCTTTTGCAGTGACACCTCTGCCTACGCAGAGGCCTCTTACTCGCGTCCTACATCCCTGCGCTACTACACTCCTGAAGTCCACCCACGTACTCCAATTGAGAACTTTTTCGAAGACATAATGCATGGGAACATGCGATACGACATTGTGCCGCCTCCACCCCCGCGCAGGCTTACGACCACACACCGCGAACCCCAACCAACCTCATCCGACTACGACCTGCGAGGTCATTGGATTGGTATTACTATCTTTGGGCTCACATGGGTTGCTATCGGGTGCGCCTTGGGACATATACGTGGCGTAGACGACGCAAGAACGACCGGCCCCCATTGGGACCCGTCCGGTCAAGTACTCTTTCGCGAATTCGCTCGCGAGGTGCATGCTTGGATCAACGTGACCGCAGGCAACATGACGCCCTCCCAACAAGCTGCAGCCTGGCAGCGAGGGTTTGCGGGGCCTCGCACGGACCATAGCCATGAGACTTCTCCCAGCAGTTATCAATTTCGGCGTTAACATAGGCGGCCGCCATACCGATGGCGCCACCTACATCATGTTCCTCTCAAGTACGAAGTTCGAGAACCTAGAGGAGGAACGTCAACTCAACTCTGGTACAGCTCTCATTGACTTCCGAACCCATGCGGGGGAACGGATCGTTCAGACTCTGGGACGCTTCGAGATAGCCCGCTATGAAGCTGAAACGGCAGGCTTTAACATCCCCAACTTCCTAAGTCTAACAGTTATCTTACCCAGAGCCCTTGGAGTGGGGGCGTCGCGTGCACATCAACTCCTGCAACCAGTAAACCACCACATGCCGAGGGACCAGCAACAGTTTGACTCTCTACTTGAACGCGCGAGGGCATATGCTCACATTGCTAAGAGAACCCTTGGCAATATTGGTGGTATCCTCAGTCGCGGTCACCGAACCGAGACCTTCCACGTTGAGGCAAACGCAGGGCAACCTGCTAATAACGTCCGGAACGACGATCCGCAACCAACAGAGACCACCACACTACTGGCTCAGAAAGGTGGTTCGGCCTCGGGGTCGCAAGACTCCTGGGCCAGGTTTCGGGGGCCGCTCGATGCGGTGGCCCCTGCGCAAGCCACAACCCTAATGGGCTCAGCGGGGCAACCTGCTGAGTCCGACTTCGACTCTGGGACTGACACCCACGCGTCCTCGGACGACGAGGCCACCGCCCTGGACTACTGCGACGTGCCCACGTACCTCACGGAGGACCAACAGGCGCAATGGTTCTTCTTAGGACACCAGAAACATAAACTCAGGTGGAGGCGATGTATGAAGAAGCCAGTTCGCAAGGTACGGCGCACTACCCGATGGGCACTCAGGGGAAAGGGCCAGGGTCGAGGCAAGGGTAAAGGTAAACGGCGGCGATTGCATGGCAAAGGCATGTTAGAATTTCTAACATCCCTTACCAGACCGCAGAATGAAGATATGTTCCTAGGTGCAGGCAGAAACCGTAGGCATACATCAGGAACAGGTAAGGGACGCCGGGGCAACCCGAAGGACGCAAACGGTAAAACTATGGAGTGCGATATCTGCCATGACACTCAACACTTCCGTCGTGAATGCCTTCAGGGCGATGGGAGAGGCAGAGGTCCGTCGATACATCTGGCTCAAACTGATTCGGACATACCGTATGTTGATTGCGAGTCACTTGTGGCCGACCCTGCCGGTAGCTCAGTTGCAGTTGTTAACTTCACGGCTGCCAGGTATTTGAGTGCCAGTATCTCCCTCGAGAATTACGCCGACGAGCTGTTCGAGGAGATATTCACTTGCCGCAGTGAGATTGATTAGGCAGACTGGCCGAGTATACCCATCGCGGGGCAACCTGCCGATATTGAATTGGTGTAGAATTTCCACAGACCCGCCGAAGGAGATGACGAAATGGCGATGACGCCCGCGGATTCAGAAGCCACTATTCCTGTAACAGAGGAGGATATATAATTGATGCTTCATCTTCGGGTTACTTGTATTCCGACAAACATGGACTTGAGTGGTGATGACCCTTTGCGGGGGAACCCGCGAGATGGTGGCGATCTGTCTGAACGCATCCAGTACGAGCTCGGCCACAGCGAAGGACTTCAACATACATTCGTAGCTTCGGACCGCCCCATGAGCCGCCAGGAGCGATCGGCAAGGCGCCAGGACTGGAGACGTAGGTATCGCGCCGACGACGATGACGAATAATGGGAAGATGACGCGCGTCTGGCACGTCGCGGTCGGGCCCGCAGTGGCTCACCCGACCGCGCGCGCGCGCGCTCCAGCGCCGCTCGCTCTAGCGGCCTTCAGCGCCCTCCTGATGCGAGGAAGCTAAGGGCCCCTCCAAGAAAGGGCAATCGACCTGACACTCCTTAGGAGGGGGCGCCTGCGGGGGCGCCCGCTTCAAGGGGAAGAACCTCGCGAATAATACCCAGGAGATGACGTGCAGCGCCTTGTTGACCACTCGGATGCTGGATTGGCGCGTCGGCGCATATACCCAGATGCAATGCGACACTGGTTGAACATGGGTTGGACTGAGCGCCAGATTCGTCGCTGGTATTCTCTTCGCAATGTTGATCGACATGAAAAAGGCAAGGTCATTCGCTCAGAAAGGACAGGGGCTGTCAAAACACAAGAAGCCCCTTACAAAGCGTGACCTCAAGAGGGCCGCCATCGAGGAACGGAAACTCTACAGAGGTGTTGATTGCACATGCTT